TCCCTCCATGAGATGACAGTCATTTCAGAACTTATCAAATTGCTGCTGTGGGTGCAACCTTGCAGCCCAATGCCCCCGTACTTTTCTTTTCAAGTGACAGGAAATGGGATAACAAATGAGATACTGGGGACAACTGACAGCAGCCTCAGCATTTCATTTCTCCCCCTCCCTGATTTTTAAGTGGCTGCAGGCCAGTATTTATAGAGAGTATGATTCCTCCAGCACCACATTGGCCTGATGCTGTAGGGTGAGAATAACCTTGCAGCCCAATGCCCCCGTACTTTTCTTTTCAAGTGACAGGAAATGGGATAACAAATGAGATACTGGGGACAACTGACAGCAGCCTCAGCATTTCATTTCTCCCCCTCCCTGATTTTTAAGTGGCTGCAGGCCAGTATTTATAGAGAGTATGATTCCTCCAGCACCACATTGGCCTGATGCTGTAGGGTGAGAATTACACTTCTCCAGCACTGGGGTACTTTTTGGAAGTGTCACCTTCTAGAGAACCTCAACTGTCACCCACCCCCTCTTGTGCTTTTCCCACTTGACCTTTTCACACGGTCAAGGCACTTTGCTTCAGTGGCTGACTTTTGTTGAGCCAACCCACTTACATTCATGTGCAGCAGGAGACCCCAGACCAGGCTCCAGGCCCCCATAACGCAACCGGATAACTCACCCCTGATGGAGGATGCACCGTCCAGCCCAGCTCTGCCGTTGCTGTTGTGGAGTCCATCAGCGTCTCTGTGGGAGGAAGGTGAAACAAGGAGTCACTGACTGGCTGGTGAAGGCCTGAGGCAGGAGAAGGGGAAAAAAGTGAAGAGGAGCCAGCCCAGGACTGCAGCCATGGGGCCCAGCCTGCACTGTACTTTCTGGCCAGTCCTTAGCTCTGGAGGAGCCATGAATTGGCCTCTCCACCCATCTGCTTCCTCATCCATTGCCCATTTCTCCCTGGCCCCCTTGTCTCCTGCAGTGCACGGGAGCATGTGCCCTTCCACCCTCCAGCCCAGGTGGAGTTTGCTCCTCAAAATCCAGAAGCAGGGTAGTACTGCCCCAGAGCAGCTCAGCTCCTGCAGACAAGAAGCCCAGCCGGAGCCAGTTCCTTCCATCCCCTTTCCAGTTTCTGTTGCAAAAGTGGGATGGTTTTTTCCGCACGGCAGGCACAATCCCTGGAGATGCTGCAGCACATGGGAAAGAAAAGTACTTTTAGGACTTAAAAGTACTAAAAATTTAAAGCAACGTTAAACCTGTTTTAGCCAGGTGATTTGGGTTGAAATAGGTCAGGCGATGCTGCCACCAGTACCACAGAGGAGGAGTCTCCCTGAGCCACACAGACAGCAAAGATTCCTTGTCCTTTCCACAGCTTGTCACGCTTCCAGTACTGAAGCCCTTCTCATCCCAAATAGCTACAGGGCAGCCTAATAACACTGATGGCATGAGAAGGGATGCTTGGGTTATGGCACCCCAATACTTGGGCTAACCTGTGTAGGTTTTTCCTATCCAGCATGGGAATGGGTCAGATGGCCCCATCAGAAATACACTGGACAGACACTTCCATGAGTGGTTTACCACAGTCTGGGTGACTGTCCATCCTCCAGGTCTGCGCCTGCATGCTCGTTGCAACACGGGGATCTTTCTGCACTATGCCTGGTGCTGACATTTTAAGAAAATAGGACAATATTCTGGTGTTTAGGAAATGGAGTTTAGAAATCACACCCAAAGGTTTCATCTCACCAAAGCTGAGCATGAGAAAAGTGTGATGCTTGTGGGGCAGACTGGGCAGGCCAGCATGCAACCAGTGATTCTGTGGCTGAGACCAAGGTGATGCCACAGCAGAAATTCTTCTCCTCTGCTCTGCAGGGAGAATGTGAACGTGCCTCCGACTTCAGAACATACACTTGGGATGCCAACTACATTTGCAGGGATGCAGGGAAGCATCCATCACACACACAAGCAAGAGAATACAAAATTCAGCTTGCAGCTTCAGTCTCCCTGCACTCCCAGTCAATGTAGGACAGGCAGGGAAACAATCCAGCACCAGGGATCTCACGAAAAAGTATCTTATGCACAAGACATGCACACCTCCCCATCAGCTCACAGAGAGGGATCAACCCCAATATAGTAGAGGTCTCTACCCACCATCCTACAACCCAGCAAATGGTGCTACTTCCCATGGCCACACATGGATGGAGAGTTACTGAGAGTCCTGTTGCTGCTCCTCACCATCAAAACCCAAGTGTACTGGCACAAACCCCCCAAAAGCAGTTCCTCCTCCTCCACTCTCACTATGCTGAACAAAAACAAAGGAAGAAAAGCTCAGCCTTGAGCAGACCCATCCTTTAGGGGACAAGCCTGGATGCAGAACTGAGCGCTCAGCCTGCCCACCGGCGCATGTGAACTCCCCTTTCCCCATCAGCAAGCCAAAAAGTGTCTCGGCACAGATCTACTCCTTGCACCTACTCCTGGCAGTAGATCATTTTCAAACTGTGGGTTGTTCATTACTCCTGGTTAGAGACAGAGGTTTCGAGTTCACAGGAAACCAGGCTTTCAAAATTTGATTTTATTCCAAGAGTAAAAAGCAAAAATAGTTCTTTTCAAATTTTCCCACTAGGAAGAGCTCTGGAAAACAGCTAGTCCAGAAATGTTGTCACTCAGATTTATGAAATTTCTTTCTAAACTGAATATTTGTTTACATAGTTTGATAATAGTGTTTATTTTATCAGGGGATCTGGCTTTTTCATTAAAACACCAGTGGCACTTTGATCTGAAAGGAAAACAACATTTTTCACCCAGTGCTAGCTAGAAGCTGCATTAATTTAAAAAAACTCCTTAAATTTGTTACTTTAACTATCAGTGACAGTGGTGCACAGTAAATACATTAACAGCAGTAACTATAATGTAAAACAAGATATACTCTCAAATAATATAAGTAATTCCCCAAATAAAAATCATATTTTGAAGCATTTTGCATTTTTAAAAGCCTGTTATTTAACGAAAACTCAACTGTGCCTGGTGCATTACTGAAAAGCACACTGACCACAGCCATTGCCTTTTAACCTCAGCTGAAAACCTGCACATCTCCTTGGAGCTCTGCATCTACCCCAGCTGGCCCAAGGCCATCTTGTTTTGACACAGGATAAGGAGGAGCAGAAACGTGCAGGTTTTTCCAATGGTCAATTATTTCCTCATTAGGAACAAAAAAAAAAGTATCTTCCATTAATTTTACTCTGAATTTACACTGTTTGGCTGCCAGCTGTTAGATTTCCTTTTACTTGTATAGAGACTCTCCAATCCAAAGCCTCCTTTCCCTCTTGCGGTGCTTAAGGGTGGCAAAATGTCATCTCCAAGACAACTACATTATCTGAGCTTCCTTACTCTTCCACCCTGAAACAAGTTCCTTTCTTTGAGGTTCCTGTTTATGAACCTTCTGTGTGTAGGGTGGATGCCAAGACTGTGGTCCCCACTGCACACAGCTGTAACATGCCAGCACGCCCCATTTTGCACGATTTTCTACCACGTTGCTGCCCTGGCTAAAGTCCCTTTGGGGATCAGTTACATGCTAGAGCTTAGCAGCATTGCCTGAACGACAGAAAATTGTCAACAAGTGGTCCCCAGGAACCAGAGTGAACCTGGTCAGCAGCGGCACTGACTGCAAAAGCGAATGTGAATCCAGGACACATTTCAATGGTGATGGTGGATTTGCTGCGTCCATTGACAGTTGACTTCAAAACACCTTATTGCCCAAGTAATGCCTGCCATAGAGTCATCTTGCCTGTATACCTGGCCAGGAGCACCCTCAGCCTCCACCCAAGGTCAAGGAGATGGTCCTCCAGGGAAGATCACCGTCTCATCCCTGAGTAGTTTCTTATTTCCAGACAAAAGAAGCACATTAATTCATTTCTCCAGCAAACAAAACCAGGAGTGATGTTCAGTGAACTACCACACCCCACGTCTGCAGGGGCATCTCTCTCTGTGCCTCTCTCCCAGGCTCAGACCCACTCAGATCTCCCCAGCAAGATGCAGTGGTGGGAGGAAGGCCCCATGAAGACACAGCCAAGCCCTGATCTGACATGCCATCATGGAAGTGCTGGCACAGAGTCTGAACTTGCAACCGATAAACCAGGAAGGTTTAAAAGGTAAGACAAGGCCTTACCACCCACCTCAGCCACACAAGAGGAGCTGAGATTCCCCTGGGGTCTGTTCCTCCTTCAGATGGATGGGGTGGAGAGGACTGCAGAAGCTCATCAAAGAGGAGTTTGCAAGATGATTGACTGTGGTCTGCAAGGATCTACACGGGGAGAAAATAGTGGCAAAGAGAGTTCCCTATAGCCCATGAGGGAAATTATAGCTACAGGTTTACCTGGGAGCTGAACCCAGTTAGGTATGTGGAAAATGAGATTCAATTTTACTAGTGCAAAATTGCCTAGAGAGGTAGAAAGGTAATTGCCAAGAGAGGCAGATCTTGCACTGTTTGTACCCTTCCCCATCCCAGGTATGCCAGGAGCTGGAGAAGCTGCATGTGTTGCTGGAGCACACACTGGGCAGGAGGTTGCCTTGGTTCCTTCTGGCTATCAAGGTATGATAACCGAGGAGATATTCATGGAGACCTCTGAGTGGGTGGGTCAGTCCAGGCACCAAGACATCAACCATGCAGAGTTCTGCAGCAGGTACAAGCCCCACACAAGGTGCAACACATGCCAAGGAACGGGAACCCACCTTTGTGCCACAACAGCCCATCCCACCCACAGGAGTCCCAACCAGGCTGCCCTCAGCCCCTTGCAACCTCTGTACCCATGGTGAACTGTGCTGGGCTGCCATGCCCGTGTCTCACCCAGCAGGTCTCTGGATCCTACCTGCAGGCTGCCCCATGCTCAAATCCTGCTCCAAGCACCCAACAGGACCAATTTCTGGATGGGCAACCCGAAGCGCAACTGTTAGTGCCCTGCCAAGCATGGCAAGAAGGGACCTGCTTCAACCAGCAAACTGGGCAGCTTCACTCACTGTCACAGCCAATGCTTTCACGGTGCCATCCTGCCAGTTTGGATGAGGGGCTGGTGCCTCAGTACCCCATAAAGATCCCCCTGGCATCTAGGACAGAGCAACGCCTCAGCAGTGACGGTGAGGACACGGAGCAAATCCGCATGGGAGTGTGTTGGGGGGGTGTGCTGGCCCTGGCCCATCTCTGGTGCTTTGCAATAGCTGCAGCTCAGTGCAACGCTCTCTCCAGAGCAGCATTTTCTCAATGTTGTTGTTTGTGTGCTTCCCTCCCGCGTGTTTATCTGCAGATTCACATGCTGCCCACGACATTATAAATAAATCTGCAGCTGCTCAAAACCAGCAGACACAACCCTGGCCCGCTTCCCACCAGAAACCGCGCTGCTCCCCACGGGGCAGTTCGGAGATAAGTGCCTGTCCTTTTCACTTTGAAGAAGCTTTCAATAAGCAACTTTTTGCCAGCACTGCGGCCTGTCTCCGGCACTGCTGCTTGCCATGATGGCATGCCAGGGCTCTGGCTCTAGGACTCTGCATCTAAAGATGCGTCCTCACCCCCAAACCACCACCTCCAGCTGCTGAGATGCCATCAAGCTGATGAGCTGCTATTGCCAATGACCCGGGTGGGGGTGAGCAGCTCCTACGCTGCTCAGCCACAAGTGAGATGCTGCTGCACGAGTTTTTCCCATCTGGCCAGGTCAGGACTGAGACTGTCAGGAAGACCTGGGAGGGAAGGACAAGACTGGGATCAC